CACAGGGATCTTACAGACAGAAGCCTGCCCACAGCTGTAGCATCCCTGAAGCCCACTGGATGTCACGGTGTGCCTGTGAGCAGCCATTGCTGCCCAGCAAGACAGAGCCCACTGTCAGGCAAGACTGCAGCTCCTGCTCAGCCTCCCACCTGGATTTTCCCTGTCTGAAGCCACACAACTGGCAAGACCAGCAGTACTCATCACTGCCCAGGCAAGGGGAACAGCCCAGAATGGCCCTGCCTTGGCCATACACTGAGGGCGAACCACCCACCGTGTCCTCCGCATCTCTCCGTGCAACTTTCTGCTCCTCGCCTTTATTTTTTCAGATAGGATGATGCTTCAGGATTAGCATTTTTCTTTTAAGGAATATCTCTTATCCCACACTCGCTTCCGAAGTATCTCCCTCGCAGCTGGCACTGCCTGGCAGGAGGAGAACGGCTCAGTGCAGCTCCCTGCGAGGTTTTGCACCGATGACTCCTGGCAGGGCTGCATGTCCCTCCTGTTACATAACGACCTTTCCCGTTTGGTGCTGGCTCCACTTGGGGTGGCCACGTTTGGGAGTGGTCACATGTGGGGTGGAGACGTTTGGGGTGCTCACATGCCCCGGTGCTCTCAGCCGTGTGCTGCCAGGCACCATCCCCCCATCCCGACCAGACCCACCAACCCTTAACCATCCTCCCTTCTCCCTATGCCTCCCCATTTGCTGCTGGACCTCTGCCCACCGGGCAGCACCCCGCTTTGTCCTGCCCCCCAAACACAACACTCCTCCTCGGGCACTCCATCCCTGTCCCACACCCAGCCCCAGATCGCAGCTTTGCTCTCCCCAGCACCCAGGGGTGTCCCGGAGCTGCCAGCTCCCTTGGGGCTGCACCCTCCAGCAGTGACCTGCCTCGGGTGCCTCCATCACCTCCCTGAGCCCAGCGCACCTCCCTCACCTGCCTGCTCCCTGCTGCCCACACCCCACAGCCGCGCCGTCTGTGCCCTCGGCTCGCAGTCCGTGCACACTCCTGTCTGCCCTGCCTGCGCTCGCCCGCAGGTGCCCCACAGAGCGGCCCCCCACGGCAGGAGCCCCACAGAGAGGCCCCCCACGGCACCTCCTGCCCCAGCCAGCCCTGCCCGCCCCACAGCAGCCCCGATCACAGCTCCCCGCCGCAGGCGGCACCGCTCTGCCCTCACCCGACACGGCCGCGGCTCCTGCCCGCGTGCCCCCCCACACACACCCGCACCGCCAGCCCTGCTCCCCTGCGCCCACACCCCCACCCAGCCGTGCCCCGCGCCCTCAGAGCCGCCCGCAGCCCGGAGCCCGCGCCCGACCCCGCGCCCCCCGCCGCTCCCCGCCCCGCGCTCTGACCTGGGCCCGGCGGCGGGCGGGAGCTGTCCGCCGCCGCCCGGTGCTGAAGGCGGCTTGGCGGCGGCGGCGGCGGGCGGCGGCGGGGCCCCTGCGGCGGCGGCGGCGGCGGGCGGCAGCTGCCCGTCGTCGCCGCCGCCCTCCAGGCTGGCCTCGTTGCCCATGTCGGGCCGGGCGGGACCGGGACCGGGGCCGCTCCCTCAGCGCAGCGCCGCCCCCGCCGCCGCCATCAGCCCCGCGCCGCCATCGCCGCCCGCCCGCGCCGCCCCGCGCATGCGCTGCCTCCGCGCCCGCTCGCGCCGCGGGCACGCGCGCGTTCGCCCGACCAATCGCCGCCCGCCCCGCGGGGCCCCGCCGGCACGTGCCCCCCGGCCCCGCCCCGCCCCGCCCGCCGGCCAATCGGCGCCGCGCAGCGCCGGCGCTCGCGCCCGCCAGGCGGCGCCACTCGCGCTCCCGCGCTGGCCGTCAATGAGCGGCCCGTCTGCCGTGACGTCACGGGCCGGTGGCCAATGGGCGCGCAGTCCCGCATGAGGTTACACGCAACAGCCAATGAGCGCCCGCTCACCCATGAGGTCACGGGCAGCTGCAGGATGTCACACATCACTGACCAATGAGGTGTCCCCTCCTTCATGAAGTCATGCGCTGCTCCTGGAAGTCACAGCCTGACAACCAATGAGCACCTGCCTCCTCCATGATGTCAGAGGCTGCCCCAGGACATCACACCACGTCAGCCAATGAACATCTTGTGCCATTGTGAGGTCATGCACTGCCTTGTGATGTCACACTCTGCCAGTCAGTGATTGTTGTGCTCCCTGTCAGGTCACAGCAGCCCTGCAATGTCACATGCTACGGTCCAATGAGCACCCTGCTACCTCATGACATCATGGCAGTTGCTCTCAGCCAGGCAATGAGAACATGCCTCCCTGTGACGTCATAGGCTCGCTGATGACGCAATGGAGCCTCAGCCAATAACGACCCTGTCCTTCCCACGGCCACCCAGAAACCAGCCAGTGACAACCATTGCTCTCCTATGACATCACAGGCTGAGCCAATGGGCTCACACACTGGCCCTAAGCGCCAGTCTCAGCCAGCCAGCACCGCCCTTTCCATGAGGTCACACAGCACTCAGCCAATGGCCACGCTTCCTCCGTGTGAGGTCAGAGGCTGCCCATGACGTCAGAGAGCAGCAGTGCCCAGCACAGCCGGGGTTCTCTCCCGTCCCCGCCGCTAATGAGGGGCGGTAATTAACGGTGCCGGTCCCCGTGGGCGGAGGGACGCGCTGCCACCGCCGGTCCCCCGCTGCCACCCTGCGGCTGCCACGGCCCGGACCCCCCCCTCGGGGGACCCCAGCGGGGACCCAAAATTGTCCCTGGGCGCGCCAGCCCGGGCGGAGCCGGGCCCGGGCAGGGCTGGCGGCTGCTTTTTATGGGCTGTGAGTCAACTCACACGCGCTAAATCCCAAAATAAACGTGAAACTGGGTCCAGCCTCACCTCGGAGCGCACCGAAATAGCAACCGGCTCCAAGGAGCCCCAGGAACAGGGACCTGAGCGCCTTCCCCGCCCCTTCGTTAGCCCCAGCCCAGGGAAAGGGATGCTGGCGCTGGAGGGCACTGCTGTCCCCCGAGGAGCAGGGGTGGGGTGCAGAAGGTGTAACACGGGAGGAAAAGAACTTTGGAGGATATGAAAGCACTAAGAGAATAAAACAGCTTCAGTTCTGGGCAGGGCAACAGATGTGCAATAAACCAGAACAAAATCACATCAGAAACAACCCAGGAGCAGCAAGGCTATGGAAGGTTAAAGTGTAAGAATAGATGAGAGCCAGGACTTAGCAGGTGGCCAGGACACACACAAAGTTTGGTTTGTTTGGATTTTTTCCTGAGGTGATGTGTTCCCCAAACACAGGAGACTCAAAACATCCACCTTGAATGCAGCAGAGGTTGGAGCAGCTGCCAGCAGCGGTGCTGTGCAGGCAGTGCCCAGACAAAACACTCAAACTTCAGATTAAACTTGCCCTGGTATCAAAACAGCCCCAAAACCCTCTCAACCCCAGCACTGCAGGCTAGCATCTGTTCTCCCGTTATGGGCAGACACCACACCTGCTCTCCAGCACCTCAGCATGGAAGCCCATGCTCCCCACCAGCCCCACACCAAACCTTCACTGCTGCCTTCTTAAAAGGGTCTTCCTGAACTGGAGAGATCCAGAGCAAGTCTCACATTTTACAGGCATTTGACACCTACCTCAAAGGGACAAGGACAGCAGGCTCTCTGCAGACCCCCACCCAGGGCTTCTCCTCTGCAGAATTCACTTTGCTTGATTAAGTTCCCCCCAAGCTTATTTTTCCAGCCCTCTGAACCCTCTCCTCTGGCTCCTCCAAACTCTCCCCTCATTCCACTGAATTCCACAGCCTCAGGTGCTGCAGGTGAGACACAGCTCATGCTCTGCAGAGCTGTGCTTTGTTCCCTTCCCTGAGGATGGGCATCACTGTCCCCTTGGCTTCACCCCACCCCTGTCCTTCCCTGCACAAGGGGCCTGCCACCCCAAAGGAACCTGAAGGGTTGAGCACATCCATCACCCCAGCTCAGACCTCCACCCTGAGGTGCAAGAGGCTGGAAAATGCTCAGAAGCCAGTTGTGTTAACAAGTGTGCACAGTAATATATTTTATTCCAAAAAAACATGTTTTTAGCCAGTCCAGTAATACAAATTTGGCCTGAAGCAGCTGGAAATAGGAAAGGTCAGATTTGTACAGGAGAGGGCTTTATGAGGTGCCTCACCACATCTGTTCCTTGCAGCTTGGACAGCCCTGCTTCAGGGGTGAACCTCCTGTTCCACAGCTCCAAGCTGAAGAACCCAGACATGTTCAGCCCCACCAGCCTCCCCTTCATCACTTCTCCAGGCCATTCCAAACCCTCTCATCACAAGGCAGAACAGTTACAAAATAATAAAAATACTCTCTTATTAAAACATAGAAATAAGTAAATATTAAACAAGTTAATATTAAAGAAATAATAAACAAGTGTCACACCCACACATGCCAAGCACAAAGCTCACACCAGCACACCTTTCTCTGCTTCCGTGTGCAGCAGGAACGCTCACCCCAATACTTTCCTTCCAGGTCAGTAGTTTCAGTACCAAGCCTGCAAGACCACTCTGAATTTCATGATCCAGAATAGGGCAACACAGCTCCCAAGTCCACCTGTGGATCTCCCCAGCCCCAACAGGCCTGTGGCTGAGGGAAGGTGTTCAGTTTGATGATGAATATACAAACACTCAACAGCCACACACGGTGCTCTACACATTTCTTCCTCCAGTAAAGTTTCTTGGAACTATCTACACCAGGCATGGAGCTGGTCCAGGTCCCTTCTCCCTGCTGCTCTCCAGACTGACATCCCAGACACCTCCCTGCACCTCCTGCTTGTGACTGCATCCAACAAGTGTGCAGTTCCACCTGGTGCCAGAGAGCCCAAAGCAGCAGCAACTGCAGAACTCTGAGGAGGCCAGAAGGCAAGAAAACCCTGTTAATTCTGCATGAAAAAAAGAGGAAGGAATGGTAAAATGAGGGTAACTCAGTCCAGGCATTAATTAGCCAGAGGCTTGGCCTCCAGAGGCTTGCTGCAGGGGCAGGATTCTCCCCAGGGCAGCTCATCTCACCACACGGCAGCATCAGTGCTTTGTGAACAGGACCCCAGGCACTGGTGGCTGCACATTGCCTCGTGCCAGGCTCTGGGCAAGTGTGCTCTGCCCTGCAGCCTCTTCTCCAAGCCTCTCCCAGGAAGTCAGGGGCTCTCATAGCAGGAAAGTGTCCATTCTGGCCTGGCTGCTGCTGCTGCTGGAGGAAGGTGCAGGAGCTGCAGATGCTGGTCTGGAGACCTTCTTCTTGCTCCTAACCTGTAATGGACGGATTTCTGCCAGGTTTGTCTGGAGGTAAAACTGTCAAGGAAAGACCAGATCAGTGCCCTGGGAACACAAGTGATCCAACACCTGCTGCAGTCCAACCTGAACCACAGGCCTGGGACCCAGCCACACACCTGCATCCCTGAGGACAGGATGGGCTTTGCTGCCTTCTCACAGGAGCAGAGCTCAGGCCCACGCCTGTCCCACATGTCAGGGAACATTTCCCCAATAGGAAGTTTCAACTGGATATCAGGAAACATCTATTCACTAAAGAGGTGGTCAAGCATTGCAACAGGCTGCCCAGGGAAATGGTGGAAGTCCCTGGAAGCATTCAAAAAACATGCATGTCACAGACACATTTTATAAAAAATCCTTTTGTTAGGATTTTTTTCTCCTGAGAGGCTGAGAGGCCTCAGGAACAAAATGTAAACAATAATCATCTGCTGCTGTGGAATGCAACAGGTGCATCTGTGATTGGTCTCATGTGGTTGTTTTTAATTAATGGCCAATCACAGTCAGCTGGCTCAGACTGTGAGGCTCAGACTCAGTCACAAGCTTTTGTTATTCATTCCATTCTTTTTCCTTTCAAGCCTTCTGATGAAACCCTTTCTTCTTTTCTTTTAGTATAGTTTTAATATAATATATATCATAAAATAATAAATCAGCCTTCTCAACAGAGTCAACATTCTTGTCTCTTCTCTTGTCCTGGGACCCCTGTGAACACCACCACACATGCAGACATGTTGGCTAGGGACATGGGTTAGTGGTGGGCTTGCTAATGCTGGGTTAATGGTTGGACTCTGATCTTAGAGCTCTTTTCCAACATTAATGACTTCATTGTTCTATGCTATCCCCCTGCACATAAACCAGCATTTTAACAACAAATCTGTTTGAGTTGCAAGACCTCCTGAGCCAGGACACTGTGCAGGTGAAGGCAGAGCAGCCAGAGCCTGCAGCCTCCCATGGCAGAGCAGTCCCAAGGCAGGAACAGCTCCACACCTGGGGGATGAGCTCAGCCCAGCCACTCCTCACCACTGTGGAGCAGCAGCATCCCACAGAATGAAGGCTCCAGCTGCACAGGCAGGCAGGCACACAGCCAGGAGAGGCTGTGCTACACTGCTGCTGTTAGATCTCAAGGGCACAGGCAGTCCCTGAAAATTGCACTGATTTCTAGCTGAGGGACTCCTCTGAACCAGCCACAAGTGCTCTCAGCAAGTTCAGGACCTTGATGCCTTTGCTGAGCTCAGATTTGTTTAGAGAGAGCTCAGATCATTCCTTGAGGATCCCAAGTCCATTTTTTGTTGAGACCAAAGAGAAGGATCAGAAATGAGGTGCCCACAGCATCAGTAGTGCCAGACAAACTGCAGGAAAGGATACTGGCTCTATGAACTTTGTCCTGCCTCCCATGCCATCGTAGCCCATCCTCACCTAGGAGAGAGAAACAAATGAGCCTGGAGCAGCGCACAGAGCCTTGGCTACTTCTCCTCATGCTGGGTATGGGGAAGGGGGAGTCCTGCAGACCACAGCTGCTGGAGGGGGGGTTAAAGCACTTGGAAACACTCAGTACTTGTGCTAGAGTCCTCACTTTTGGAAAAAAACAGACCCATGGGTATTAACAAAGTTTGGGAATATTGGGCATTTTCTCAGATAAGCAAACCAAGGCTTGGGATTTTGTCACTGGGATTGAGGAATGCAAGGAGAATACCCTAAGCTCCAAGGAGGTGGAGGAATAGGACATTGAGAGCCACTTAGTCTGCTGCCAGGAAAGGAATGAGCATCTGTCATCCCTGGAGCTCTACAGGACTGGGAAGTAGCCAGGTTGTGCTCTGAGATTTATTTTCCACACACTGAATGTGGCAAGGTAAAAGCCTCATTCACTTTCTCTTTCAGGGTCAGTTCAGGACAGAGGTGGCAGTGCCAGCCCTGGGCACACTCACCAACTGGACAGTCATACTTACAGAGCCCGTGTTCCTGTGGGAACCCAGCACAGCACCCGAAGATGGCTTCTTGGAGAGAAAAGAGTTCCTGATGAATGCTGGCAAGAGTCCTTTAAGAGCATCATCCTCCAGATCATCTTCCCCGTTCTGTCCCACAAAATAACAAGAAAAGCCCTTTAACCAGCACAATCTGCTGAATGGAATCCACATTCAGGCAGCACTGATAACACAGACAGCTATTCAAGGTAATGGTTACTGCCATATCACATCAGGTTGAAAACCAGCAGCTCCCAACCTCCCACTGGGGCTTATGTGGAACTGTGCCCAGGAGGCAGGACACTGCCACCAGCAACCTGGGCAGACAGCCACCTCAGCTGACCCCACAGCCCCTGTGGTGAGCTCCAGTGGTGCTTGTGAAGCACATCTGGGGCAGAATCATCAGTAAGCATGTGGGTCCCCACCCTCCCTTCTCCTGCCCAGCTCCAGGAGGCCTGAGGCAGCAACAGTGTTTCTAGGAGACCATCAAGGAAAACACTTTGAAGCACAGACTGGTTCTATAGATGGGCCAGTCTATGGCCACAAGGGAGAAAATAGATTCTTTATTCCAAGCTTATTAACAGCAGAATCAAAGAGGCGACACAGAAAAATCAAGATTAGTCCTTTTACCTCCACTGCTTCCTTCAGAACTTTCTTCGCCAGATTTACCACAGGAGGCCTGTAAGGAGCCCAAGGAGCAAATCAGCAGAGATTTATTGCTCAAATGGAGCTGGCAAGGACAGACAAGGCCAAGCAAATGACGACAAAGCTTGCAGCACGCCATCAGGCAGCTGGAGAGCTATCTGATCTCACACAGAAACTTCCAAAGCAGTGAGACTTTGATCTCCTTTAGAAGCAGAAAGAGGAGGGAAAACTCACGGCTTTTTATCCAGCTTCTGCCTTTTTGCAGGGCCGAGGGGAGCTGTGCAGGGCTGGTGTTCAGGGGTGGCCACATCGAACGTGGCATCCAGGTTGATCTCATCGCTGTGGGCCGGGCGGTGGAGCTTGGGATGCTGCAGCTCCATGGGAGCAGGGCTGCAAGGCAGGAAAAGCATCAGCCACTGAGCCACTGCCTGCACCCAGGGCAAGGCAGAGCTGCACCCCACAACACTGAGTGCTCAGACAGCACTGGCACCAGGAGCAGAGCCCTGTTCTGCTTACACATCAAAGAAGGGACAATCTGAACCCAGAGTTCAAATTCTATGTCCCAAATTACTGCTCCCCCTCAAATGCTGAGTGCTGACACCAGCACCCAGAGCCCAGCAATCATACTGACACACTGCTGCTATGTGGACACAACCCAGCTTGCTCTACTGGGCTAATGGCCCAGGCTCCTCAAGAAAGGCTGGATGAAAGCAGATGTCATTTCTCAGGGCAGATTCCTCTGCCTAGCTGAGATCTTTGGTCACCATACACCAGTGCATGCTCATCACATGGCCAACTCTAAAGCCACAAGAACAGCTTTAGGGGTGTTTCCCAGGCAGGGCACAGTGACAAAGACTTTTTAACAACCCAGGCCATTCCTCCACCCTCTCCTGACCCAAACCCTCAGAGATTTTCTCCACATAAACCAAACATCATCTCGTCAGCCACAAGAAAAAGGATACAAGGAACAAAACCACCACACCTCTGCAACACCTGCCAGACTAGTACATCTCTGCTTTCTCAGTTAAACTGTCAACTCTGGCTTTGGGCCTGTCCCCTGCATGCCTGTACTAACCTTTCCAAGACTAGCCGACTGAGTGTTTCCCTGGTTACAGATGGGACCTTCAGAGTGTCCTGCAGGATGTCTATCTTCTTCTTCAAACTCTGGAGAGAAAATGGAAAGCAGCCAGTGAGATAAGGAAAAATTTAGCAGTGGATACTTTGCCCCTTTTCCATAAATCAACATCAGGTGGAGCTCAGAGGTAGGCTGGGAAATTTAGTCACTGAGCAAAAGCCAGCATAACTCCTGGCTTTGCAGCTGCAGACCAGTCTGCAGTAACTGGCAGCTGGCCATGAAGAAAGATATTCTCACCAAGATCTCCTTGTCTGCATTCTTCAGATCTTTCTGTGTGCTTTTTAACTCCTCCTTTGTCTTCTCCAACTCTGAAGTCGTTTTCTGCAACTAGAGAACACAACAGAGCGTGGGTTACACTGATCTGGGTAGGGGAACTGCAGAGCCCTGTGAGAGCAGTGTGCTCTGCAGCACATGCTGCTTCCCCGGTTTCAGGGCTCCATTTTCCTGTGTCAGTCTGACCAACCTCTCCTGTACCAGTGCAATCCAATCCCTACCCAATTCCACAAGCTGCCTGCAGAGGGATGTCCAGGGCTGCTTGCCCAGCATTTACGCCTCACGGCAAGAGTTTTTCACTGCTCTAACACTTGGTGGCTGCATTCTGAATTCCTGCAGGACTTTGGACACAGCTGAGCACAGGAATCACAAACCACAGGCTGGAGGATGGCTGTGCATCAGCAGTGCTGGCACATGGACAAGCCTGATTCAACAGGGAAGCATGCCAGCAGCAGGGGTCAGGAAGTGGCCTGCTACCACTTCAGAGGGTCCAGGAGCCGGGGCCAGCTCACACTCTGTGGGTACAGTCAGCTCTCTGGCAGCCAAGCCTGAGCCCCTTGTGCACTGACTCGCATCCTCCTGACCCACGCTGGCCACCGCAGCTTGGGGCTGACTCAGCCAGGAGCAGCCCAATTCCAGCAGCAGAACCTTGAGGAGGGGTTAACTTTCCTCTGGGGAGCACAGCACAGCAATCTGAAAAACTCCTTCTCCATTTGAGGGGACAGCAGCTATGGCTGAGTAACAGAAGTAGGCCAAATCCACCCACAGCTTCTCACTTTGTTGGCTTAGGCACAGGGATGCCCCAGGGAACACCTGTGCCTTGGGGAGTGAGGCTACACACCGGCTTTTCACAGGGATGCACTCCCAGAACAAAGACAGTCCTGCTTGACCTGAGCTAACAGAGCCCATCCATGCCTGGAGCAGGGGGAGCACAGCAGCAGAGGCAGGTCAGCATCCCCAGGCTCTGCACCAGCTCAGCAGCAGCCCAGGCAGGCTCTGTGCAGGGCCACCTGTGTGTCCTCACTGTGCTTTGGGAAGCTCTCCTGCCTGGGCACAGCACGATGTGGGAGCCCTGGCCCAGTTCAGCTGGCTGAAGGCACAAGGCTGGGTGTGACTGGATGTGCCAAGCCAGGACTAAGCCCTGCTCAATTAATACTGGCTCCAAACCCCTTCCCACTTCCTATGGGGCCCAGCTCTGCAGCAGGAGGAGCTGATAGCTGAGTGCTCAGCCGAGTAGCCGGATGAAGGAATTACTACTTCCAGAACCCAGTGGGAGCAGTGGAGCACCTGTGTGCTGCTGCCTTCCAGCACAGGCTCCCTGCCAAACTCTGGCTGGCTCTGCACATGCTGCCCCAGCACTGTCCCCAGAGACTGCCCTCCTGACAACAGCCCATGAGCTGTTTGCTCACCACATCACATCCTGACCCAGAAACCCAGCCTGGCCCTTCCACACACCTGTACCTATCAGTGTGGGAGGGGGTCACCGCAGAGGCCTTGGGCCTCAGTTATGGACAGGGATCTACAAACCAGGTGTCACCCTGGCAACTCACACTCTCCTTTACCTTATTATTGACAGAAAACAGCTCCTTTTTCAGCTTCTCTGTCATCTCACCAGAGATCTTCCGAGCCTCCTTCAAATTCTCATATTCCCTACAAAGAGATCCAAAGAGTCAGACTGTTTGTAAGGCAGCTGAGCCAGAACTTCTCAGAGACAAGCCAAGACCCTCAAATTGAAGCTCTGGACCTGCACAGCCACCAGAGAAAACCCAGGAGACAAAATGCCCCTTAAGGAACAAAGAGGACTGAGTGTACTAACACTGTCACACATTCCACTACACCATGGGGGAGAAAAAACCTGCATGGGGTACTCTGCCTGATTCCAGCAGCAAAATGGGAACCAGAGCCAGGGGTGTTTTAGTTGCCAGTGAAAAAGACAGAAAACAGAGCACAGCCTCCATGCTGGCAGCAAACAGGGGACTTTGCTTTAAGTGACTTTTCAGAGCTTCCCACTACTGGCCATGCACATTCATTCCCAATTACACCACAGGGACACTTGCCTCATTACAGCTTTGTACCAAAGCTGCAGTTATTCAGCTGCTATCAGAACAGACACAAAAAAAAGCTGTGTTTTTTCCCCAGCAGGACCAGATGGATATCCAGGTAGGGGAGGGCAGCAGTGGAGGCTTGCTTTGCCAGAGGCCACAGCTGCACAGTGCAGTGCTGCAGAGGGCACAACCCAGAGCTCTGCATCCGCTTGCTTTCCCCGGGCCATGAGAGGAAAGCAGAGGGAATAATCATCATCACTTCATAGGTGCACTGACAACTCTGGAGACAGTTCCCATGGTGACACACATGTCACTACAGTGACAAGAGGAACAGTTCAGTGTGACAGGCTCCAAACTAGGTCCCCAGGATCTGTCAGTCAAAGCCCAGTGGCAGCCCTAAGAGGTGGTGAAAGCCCCATAGAGCCCATGTGCCTGTGGGTGCTCGGCAGAGGGTTCTCCCTGGGCACTCCCAGGACAACACCAGCCAGCTGTGCCAAGCCTGCAGCACCTACTTCTTGAGGGAGACACAGTAGATTGCAAGCTGCTCCACTGCTGCCTGCCCGACTCCCATGTCTCTGATCATCTCCTCCACTTCTGAGCGCTGACTCTGAAGCAACAGCTCGATCCTGCACAAAAAAACACAAACAAAAACATACCCTCAGCTCATGAATCACAAACTGACCTGGGAAAGAGACAAAAGCCCTGCTTCCCCCTCAAGGGGCTGGTGCAGCCTGAGCTTCTCCTGCAGGCACTCTGGGTGTCATGGGAGAAGAGAGACAGCTGCCTCACCTCAAGCAGGGCTTTTCACCGGGGAAAAGCAGCACTGCTTGGACTAGAGAAGGGGCAGCTGCACACACATACTGCACATGGAAATGATGCCCAGCTCTTGGTCCCTATAGCCCTGTGGCTCACTGTGCTCCTGGGCTGGCATTCTGCCCCAGCATCCTCTGATAACAGAAATGGCACATAGCCATGCTCAGTGCACTAGAGATGAGGCCAGTACCCTGCCTTGCTGCTCTTTAATGAGAGCAGCTGTCTGCAAACAGCAGGGGCAGGAGGCTTGCAAGGGCAGCTAAAAGCAGCCATTTCAAAGTTCAAGATAAGATGATCCAGCACATGGAGGTGGATGCTGCAGCAGGACCCTGCTCCCCTCCCCAGAAAGGGCAGAGGTGTGTGTGCAGCCCAGCCTGCACCCTGGATCTCACCTCTCCATGGTTCTCAGCTTGTTCCGCAGCCGGCGAGCCTCCTCCTTTGAACTTTTGTTATCCTCCTGCTGCTGCTCCAGGAATTTCATCTGCTTCTGCAGGGAAGCAAGCACACCCAGCCCACTGTGAGGCTCCAGGGATTGTTGGAGAAACATCCTGGGTTATGTGCACTGCGGGCAGCTGGGAGCACACATTGGCTGAATGCTCTCACCACCTCAGTAGCCTGGGATTAAGGAGAGTTGACTCCCTCCCACTGCACCCCCAGCTCTGCTCCCCAGAGCACAGCAGGGTCCCAGTGCTGATCACAAGGCAAGACTGGAGCTGAACCCGTGTCACAGCCTCTCTCTGCTGCACAGTGCCCTGTACGCAGCGGTGACAATTTGTTTTTCAAAAGCAAAGGAGTCCACAGCAACCAAACCTTGCCACTGCCTTTCCCTCCCTGCACAGATGATTGCTTCAGCCTCCCAACTCTCCTTGCTATTAGCTGCTTAGAGCATAGATAGGAATGAGTGGGTCTCTTCTGGAAGACCTCAGTGAAACCAGACAACCCCCAGGCACTTCTCTCACCTGCTGCAAGTCTATTGCAGCCTATTGCTGTCACAGGCATATTTTATGAAAAATCCTTTTGCCAGGATCTTTTCTCCTGAGAAGCTGAGAAGCTTCAGCTTCTCCCTGTTTTGCTGCCTTGGAATGTGATCTGGAGAATTGTTTACCCAGCATGTGAAATTGTTTTTACTTGATGACCAGTGACAGCCACCTGTGTCGAGGCTGTGAGCAGTCACAAGATTTTATTATCATTCCATTCCTCTCCTTTCAAGCCTTCTGATGAAATCCTTTCTTCTATTCTTTTAGTATAGTTTTAATATATAATTTTCTTTTAATATAATATATCATAAAATAACAAATCAGCCTTCTGAAACATGGAGTCAAGATTCTTATCTCTTTCCTTGTCCTGGGAACCCTGCAAACACCACCACATATTGCCTCTCCAGCAGTAACACAGAACCTCAGCTGAGATGGAAAAGCACACATCTGCAGTGTGCCAGAGGATGGGAATAGCTGAATTAGCACCATTCTGAGGCATCTGTGCTGTCTAGGTTTGAGTGTGCCTGGGCACCTTGCACAGCAACTTTGAAAGGCTCTGGTTTCAGCACAGTGCTGATTGCAGGGAAAGGCCTGGCAAAAGATCATTGCCTTGTTAAGCTCCTTCACACTCAAGTTCAAGGATTTTATCCACTTCCTGCCACAGAAACCAAACAGCTGTGAAACCACTGAGAAGTGTTGAGAAGGGACAGTGTTGCAGGCTCATGTGTCACTCTTGTTTAACTGGAGCCTGTCTTTGGCTTTTCCCTGACCAGAACTCTCAACACTCCAGATCCCCACAGCAGTGTTCTGTGCCTGGTCAGGGCAGAGGCCCCAGCTTCAGCCAGCCTGAAACTGCAGCAAACTGGCAGTGCCAGCAGAAGACAGGCCCAGCTCACAGCCTTAGCCTGTGTCACTGCCAGTTAAGCCTGTATTTTCACTGCAGAAGTTCAGTGCTTTAATCTTTAATGATGCAGTTTAAGACAGTGCTTGGCATTCAGCTGGGAAACCCCATACAGCACAGAAAAGATACCTCCAGGTCCCTCATCCTTCTGCCCTGCCCAGCTTTCATTAAAGGGACTTAAGCATACAGAGAGGGTTTTGCAACAGGGAAGATAAGCACAGAGCCTCCTCCAGAGGTGTCAAGGCAGGAAAACCCAGCACTGAGATGCTGAGTTGAGCAGCAAGTACCAGCTCCCACTGTCACAGTTATTTCTGCTGGAGGAGGGGGCATCCTGCCACTGATCTAGGATCACACCAGCACCTATGGCATGGCCAAGATCCAGGCTGCCTTTACATGCAAGCAGATTGGATATAATCCCATGGCTGGGCAAAAACAGTTGTGCTGGCCCACAGTGAGGCCTGCCTGGCATTAATTCCTTACTCCTTCTGCCCTAGTATCAGGTAGATCCCCCAGATGCTTCCTCCCAAAGGAGCCCAGCTGCAGGAAGCATATAGCACAACAGCACCAGGACATGTCTACAAGCTCTCTCTGAGCCACTTGGCCTTGCAGGTCAAGAAACAGGACACAGTTTAGGACACTGGGTCAGACAGCATGGGGAGTGCAGTACACACTTGTCCCACTTTCCCACTGCACTCAACCTCACCTGCCTGCACCACACCTTCCTGAGACAGGCACATCACCTTCACACAGCACAGAGTACCTAGCCCAGCATCAAGGCAAAGCTGCTCCAAGACATCTCAACAAAGCTGCTCCTGCTCTTGTCCTCTTCCTCTTGCTGTTTATGCATAGTACATGACTACACACTGAGTCACTGCACGCCGAAGCACAACAGGAATATTTGATCCCTGGACTTCACAACATTACTAACCTAACTGAGGCAAAGCCCTGGCAACAGAACAGAGACAGGAGAGTTAGCTGGATCAGATCCCACTCATCTGAAGCCTGCAACTCCCCCTCCATATTTTTCAGTTTGATTTCTCCCCCCGATCAAAGTAAGAAACTAATTTTCCTTGAATCCCACTTGGCCTAAACCCATTTCAGAAGAACATTCTACCTCAGGGAACCACTGTTTCAGCAACGGGGTGCTGGGGCTAGTTCCCACACTAGATTCCTGCTACTACCTTTATGACCAGCACTGCCACTTCATTAGTGAGGCTCAGCCACATTCCTCAGGCTGGGCTGGCATTTCTCCCTCACCAGGGATACCACTACCTTGAGCTCCTGTACACAAACCACAGGCCTGTAGGCTTTTTATGCCCCTGAATCACCTCAGGCAGAGCACAAATAGGACCTCAAGTCCAGCAACAGCACTTGCATCGATTAATCAAACCAAAATGAAAATCCAGGTGCCAGACCCAAAATCCCACCAGCACAATCTCTTTATTAGCAGGATCTGCAGAGATCTTCAACAGAACTAACACTGACTGCACGATGGTTAGCCCTGCTGGGGACAGGAAAGGTACCTTGAGAGAGGAGCACAGCATCTCTGTCTCTCCCAGCATCTTCTGGAGCGACTCTATCGTGGCATTGCGCACATCCAGAGTGTCCCTCAGCCCGTCCACAACAGCCTGGCATTCCCGCTTTTCTTTCTCTGCAAAGGAAGAAACAGAAAGGTCATGGCCTGGTAACCCAGACTCCAGCTGCAGCACAGCAGCAGCAGCACACAGACTGCTGGCAGGCTCAGCTCCAGGCTGCCAGGATTCGGCCATTCCTGGAGAGAGCCATTTCTCTAAGTGGCGTCTGCACCAGGGTCTGTACTGAGCAATGCTTCTCTCAGTGCCAGCAGGCTTCAAGATTTCTTTACTAAAGATAAAAAATTCCCTTTAATAGCTTTCCAGCACCAGCCCTGCTAGCATTAAGATGATGTATCTTAACTCTTGCGTTTTCTCAAAGCCAGGCTTGCACAAGGAAATAATTCCTCTCGAGTTACACCAAGCTGTCATAGAGCTGAAGAAGAGAGCTTTGTATCCATCCTCTCCACATGGAATCTTACATGTCAGAAACCCCTCTGGGGGCCACTGAGCAGCAGTATGCAGGGGTCCACCAAGCTGCTGCACGTGCCCTCGCTAACCACAGCACCTACATCAAAGGGCAGCACCCTGGGGGCACTGCAGAACATGACAGCTTAGGTAGATTTCCCCAGGTGCCCACTTTTTGCAGGTCACAAAACCTTTGCATCCTGCTGTCCCTCCCTCTAGCAATCCAGGAGCAAAGCACGTGCCTCTGACCACCAGAAAGAATGTGGTGGAAACCACCACCAGATTTCAATTTGTTTTGTGGAGACAAGGGAAGGACAGGTCAGAAAGCAACAATCACTATCAGGAGCTGCCAGACCAAGCAGGGAACAGCCAGCATCGTTGAGAAGCTCAAAGCAGTTGAGTAATGAGGGAAAGCAGGAACCCTTCCACCTAACCCTGCTGAGGGCAGGGTAAAACCTTCAGCTCACCATCTTCAGAGCCTTTGCTAAAATTGCCTGTGGCTCCAGCCTGGCAATAGTAGAGAGCCAAAGAGTGCTTTTCCAAAAAGCTTGTTCTCCTTGCAAGCCATCCAGTTTCAAATTCTGCCTGCACATCCTGTGGAAGCAGGACCTGCAGGGAAGCTGCACTGTTCAATCAGGGAGTAAAAGAGCCATGTGGGACCGAGGAACAAGAGAGGAACGTGTTCCAGCAGAAGCGTGCGGGTGGCTTCTCCGCTGATCTGAATAACCCTTCCCCACCAGAGGCAGTGCCTGGAGATGCTCCCTTGCATTTGCAAGGACTCCACACCCACTGGAAGAGTTAAGGCTTCCCCCTCCTCCGTTCCCAGCTGCCCAGAGGCAGATGGCAGGACTCAAACCCCTCCGTGCTGCAGGAATGAGTTTTCAGCTCATTCAGAGTGCCTCCCACAGAGCCTGCTCGGAGCTCGGCACCTCTCGAGCCATTTGCAGGCTGATCAGAGCCTGGCAGCTCCACAGCTCCTCTGCAGCACACAGAGCAGAGCACAGCTTCACATGGAGAACTTATACACAGGAACCAGCAGAGAGCAGAGTACCCACAGCAAAGGAGGCAGGAGGTGGGAAGGAGCTTCGCATTTCCAGCATGAAAAGAGAATGGGACAGGGAATGTCAAATCCAACCTCTACTCACCAGAAGCCGAGAAGATTAGCAGGCCTTCAAGCAGTTTTTCTTGGATAATATCCTAGCAAGAATCCCAGCCACCTTCCTCAGAAGATCTGGCTCTCTACCAAGTCACTAAACTCAACCAAGCTGGCAGGAGAACAGGCCTCAGAATAGAGACGTGCAGACCATCCAATTCTACTCTCAGGCTAAGGACCGAATCCTCAATCTACTGGCTATTCATGTCTGTCTCGTGCATGCAGGGAACGCAGAGGAAAGACAACTCTTGGGGCGTGGGTGAGCCCCCAGCATTCTTTAAACATTTTTTTACCCTTCTGCTAGCATGTTTTAGGATTTCTGTCACTTAGACTGACATTTTCCTTTTGCTGCTCATGACTCATGTTCTGATGACAGGCTGCCTACAGACGATGCTTAAAACCCATCGACAAGTCTCCAGGGCTTTTGCTTTTCCTGCCTCCCTCAAACATCCTCTAAAATTAAAGATGGGAAGATGGAAGTGCGTGCACACTGAACTCCGTCTGCTCTTCTCGCGACACATGTGGCACTGCAACAGCCAAACAAATCCAATGCTGCTTTTGGACACCACTTTCACCCTCTCATCTGTTGGAGGGAATGAGCCTTTGCCATATGCAGCTGTGAGTTTCCCAGCAAGCAAACCAAGGCTTTTGCTTTCAAGCCTGCTTCAGACAGAGCTTTGCTGCAATTCTGTAAGCTTGTGATTAGGAAGGGGGCAAAAAAATTGCATCTACCTGTCTAAACTTGCAGTGAACTCCTGAGTTACAGCAGAGCTGGGCCAGGCTGTGGACTCAGGCTCTGTCATATAAGCTGTGCATCACTGTAGGTGTTCTCACCTCAGGAAAAGCTCCAAAGAAGTTGCTCTAGTGAAACAGTTTGCAGCCTGAACCATGCCCTTGGCTTCAGAGAGGGGTGGCCTCTGCACAGGGGCTCCTCAGACCTGGCCAAGCCACCTGGCACAGGTAGAGCCAGGAGCTGCTGATCCCCTGCAGGCTGCAGGAACTCACCTTTCAAGGACAGCTGGGCCTTCACCTTGTCCAGTTCATTCTGAAACACAACACAGAAAACCCCATTAAGAAATGTCCTGCAGAGATGCTTTCACCAGAACTTAAAAAGACCCAAGAGGTTTCTCAGCAGGACTTTTGGACCAAGCAGGTACTGAAGAGGGGATATAGAAACAACAAGCACAGAGTTACAAGCCTGGATATCACAGGGAACGGAAAGAGCACCTCCAACTGGCATTCTTCAGGGGGAGAAGAGAGGATCGCAGCTTCATCTTAGCCTTGTCAACCTTGTGTTTCTCACACTGTCAGTCATCCTGTTTTAGCTGAATAATTTTGGAAGGCTCTCAGGGAAACACAGGAAGTCAGGCAAGAACAATTTTTATAATGTTTTACCTAAACAAGGCAATAAGGGAGGAATGTTGCCAGACTAACTGGATTACTGAGAGTTCTTTAAACTGAAGTGAACTTTAATCAGATGGAGGTGGGAGACAGGAGAGCACAGCCAGGCACCTGAAAAGGTAACCAAGCATGCACTCAAACACGCTGATAGACACTGAAGTCACTGCAGTTCAGGATGCTGATATGAGCTAACAGCTCAATCAAAAGGCTGGAAACAGATCACTGAGAAACCAATCCATAACACACCAGCTGAGAGTGCACAAAATCTCCTGGGTACCACAAGGGTCTGAGGAACATCAACTATTTCTAACGCCTTCATCAAGGATCAGAAAGAGGCAGCAGATGCCCTGTAGTTTAAATTAGAGAAAATGAAGAGATATAATTTAACACTGGCGAATAGCCAAAGGAAATGTAGAGAGGTTAAAAAGAGAGGCTATTTATATCTATATATATATATTTAAAAGAAAAACCAGAGAGATAAATATATGCAGGAAAGAGTCAAAAGAAGATGACTTAAAAATCTGTGTTAGAGAACTGCAGAGGAAAGCACATAACAAGTCAGGCAGGAACTGCAGTGGAATAAAACCACAATAAAATGCCAACACAGGCACACAAATCTGTGCAGCCCGGAATGCTACATGCAAATCTGAGCCGAGAATAGCACCAGCAGTGACCACAGCTCTGACAGGACTGGAGCTAGGGCTCTGCTAGTGACAACAAAGGCAGGAAAGAGAATGAGGGATGTAAAGCGTGGAAAGCAGAAGGGACTAAATGCAAAGCCTAGCAGAGCTGACTGGGACTTGCCCCAAGGGGCACAATTGCTGGAGGGCTAAAGTGGAATTAACTCTGCTGCAGGAACTATTCTGAAGTAGCTTCCTCAGAGTCCTATTCAGGAACGATTAGTGGGCTCACAAGATGTGCTAATTTTCATGATAGCAAAGAAACCCTGGGCTACTTCAGGCAGCTATGTAACATTACCTCATTCATCAACTTAATCTGAAATCCCTCATCCTCCACCACAGCTCCTAAAAGCCGCTCCCAATTTTCTCTCCTCTGAGGGAAGCTCTCCTCTCCCTGCCAGACTGAGTAACAAGACCACATTTTCCCGAGATCAAACGAATATATCCTGACCACAAACAGACAGCTGTCCTCCAAGGCTTCTACCTTCCCCAGCAGGTTTACAGGCAGGAATCCTCCCCCCACCTCCTCTTCACCAAGCTGAAATCTCATTTGGAAGAATTCTGCAGTCCCCAGATCATAAGCAGCTCTTGACAGACTCACTGAGGTGTTACACTCCAAAACTCACCCTTTTCCTGCTCTGGGAACAGCCACATGGAGACTGTTCTGCTCACAAGGACCATCTTTAAATTCAGTAGAGGCTAAACCCAGGTTCAGTAATGAAAGAAAAGCCTGGACACTTAGCCTGTGCTCCACAGCTACTCCAGGGATCCAGGTTCTCCCGGTGTTTCTATTGAAGTTTTAGCCTGGGGGTGGAGGAAAGCAAAACAGCCCCAGCACTCCTGTAACTGTAAACATTTCTGAGTAACAGCAACAGTGAGAAACAGAAACAAAGACAATTACCAAAGATAATTGGGCTAATTCTGCAACAACAGGAAGGGGTTTCAGATCATGAGGGAGCTCTTCCAACCACTTCACTGAGTGCCAAAGACTGGATCTCCGAAGAGAATCCCAAGCTTGTCACTCCAAGATGACAAGCAGGCCACAGCTACACACTTTGCTCTCTAGCACATCCTTTTCAAGGCAGGAGGCCAAATGCTCACTCCCAGAGAGCTGTGGGCTGCACAGATACAGTTCCAGTTGATTACACAGATGATCACTCCATGCCCAGGCTCTTGGAGGGCCAGGCAGTGGTTCATCACAAACCTTGGATTTTTCTTTTTTTTTTTCTTTCTCAGGTGAAGTTGCTTCTGGCTGAGGATACCAGAGAGGTTCTTATCTCATCCTCTGAAGAGCCCAGGCTTGGCCCACCATGTGTTCACTTTGAATTGGTGCCTGGCCAGAATCAGACACTCCATCACAGGCAGATCTCACATCTAGGTGGACATTAGTCCCTCACCCATTGTGAACAAGACATCTGTGTTCTTAAGGAACTCCATATCTCCAGAAACGAGCCAGCACACCACAAGAAACTGGCTGCAGCAGCCAGCAGCCTGTACAGTGCACACAGCAGTGAATACCAGGCTAATGATGCTGATTTACCCAGAAAAGTATTTGGTTCTTTCTGTTGGTGACCTCAGAGCCCTCATTAAGCAGGCTGTACACTGAGGCTAGATGTTGCTCTGACACATACACACAAGATTTACAGGAGCAGGAGGAGTTACCATTAAGCTTGTTGTGCAGGAGCAGCTCCACAGTCCTGCCCTTGAGCAAGGGAGCAGTTCTGCACAGCCTGCCTGGAGCAGAAGGCTGGGGGAACCCATTTTAGATCCTGGGGTGGGGGTGAGAGAGAACAGGAAGATTTTCTAGGGCGATTCTCTCCAGACAACCCATTCCGAGTCACCCATCTCATTACACCCGTGGGAGCAGATCTCAATCCATACAAAAGGAAACATGGATCTGCTGTGAGGGCACACAGCTCCAGGGCCCAGAGATGCTCCTCCACTCCTCTGCACACTTCAGTCTTCAGATTTCTTACTGGTGATCTTGGAGAAAGACACTGCTACTGACATTCTAGTCTGGCTGGCTTTATTTTAAAGACATACAAAGTACATATAGAATTGTCATGGCAACTGCTAATTATGGTAATTGCTGCACATGCTGCTTCTAAACACAAGAGGGTACAAGCATCCCATTATACCAAGGTCAACCGGCCACCCTTTTTTTGGAACAGATAATTCCAAGACAGAAGGAACCCTGTTTCATCCACACTACACAAAGGAGAACGTGGATCAGCCACTCTGTGTATATCCCTGCTCACACCCAACTCTCTGCACCCAAAGGTGACACTTGGAGCACACCACCAGCATCCCAGCTCCAGCCAGGATCCCACCAGGACCCATCTTCCATGTTGTTCACTGCTGCTGGTGTGGCTTCAGGCTGTTCCTTTCCTCATCTCTCTTGGGGAATCACCCAGCCCCACATCCTTCAGTCTGCACAACCTCCCTGCACAGAAGGTTCTTCCAATGGCCCCTTCTTTCCAGAGGGGTTAGCAGGGCTCACACACAGCCACACCACAGATACCAGCAGCAATTCACTGCATCTGGGATTTCCCTTCTGCCCTTGGGAACAGCTCTGTACCCTCATTCCCAACGGAGGAACAGCAGCCTGATGTGATGGTGTTTCAGGAGGTTTCCAGGTAAAGTGAGAAGCAGAAGGAAGAACAGGAAGAAGAGGAGGCTCCTTGAGTCACCACATGGGATTTGGTCAGAGGGAATGCTAAAGAGATTGATATGCTTGAGGTCAGACACGTGAGCACAGCAAGCTCCAGCTTGGGAAGCACCTGCTGGCAGAAGACCAGCAGGCCAGGCCACCCTCCCAGGAGGCTGAAGCATGAGGAAGGAACTCCCCCATCAAGTTACCTGCAAGGTCTCAGCGTCCGGTGCTGCTTGCTCGTCCAGGGTAACATCAAAAAACAGCTTACTGATGATGTGTCTTTTGCTGACCTAAACACAGGAGACAGAAGAGTTTGATGGGCACAAATATGGAAACAACAGATATGGAAGACAGATGGAGGGGGAGAAGGTACTGTCTTGTGACAAGGCCATGAAAGGCAAATCAGATCACGTGTTTGACACCATTAGTGCTGATGCTCTGCTTTGGCTCAACAGCACAGCAGCAGACCCCCCACTCAGTTTCTGGCAGTGTGACTCCAGCCAAGCTCCTGAGCTGCAGCAGAAAGACTCAGACATTTCTGAATCGAGTGCAGTCTGTTCTCTGGCAGCTCAGCCCAAAGCAGCTGATGCTGAGCTAACATGATGCCAAATCCTAAGACAGAAGTACGTGCTGCTTTCTGCAGGCAGAAGGTGCTGTAATTGAATTTGATAGCTCTCCACACCTCCCCCATGCAGTTACAGCTTTGTGTTTTAAGTATTATATACAGTCATGACACCAGCTAATTGCATGGTTACTGCCACATAAGATGTTATTTCGCGATAACTCCATGGTAACCCAGAGATGTAAGAGGCAGAGAAGAACAGAGGGAATCAACAAGTCAGGGAAGGAACAAGGGCCAAGACCTTGAGAGGAGGAAAGAAGCACGAACACAGAATAAGCCCAAGCAGCAGCTGGCTAAAAATTTTCATCTGAGAGCGAGGAAACATCTCCTGCAGCCACCACGTGCCAAGACCCGCTGGTGGCATGAAGGCTGGTGACACAAGGGACTTCAAAGACGTTCAGGTCTCAGTTAAGCCAATGGAAATGCAAGGCTCAGCCTCCTGTCTCAGAAGCAGAGCACATCCTTCCTTCTCTCCCCAGCCACTGCCTTTCTCAAGGGAGGGTCGAGTACTGGAGGGTCGAGTACTGCTCAGCCAGGAGGGGCTGTAGGGCCCACGTGCAGCAGAGTGGGCTGCTCACCTGACAGCAATGGGCTGGGCACACCACAAACACCACTCAGGTGCCCCATCAGGGCAGCCCGTCCTATCATGGCAATACTTACCCAGCCTAAGGAAAAGCTGTGAAAACCCATAGCTCCTTTTGAAAGGAGCTGCAGTGCAGACAGCAGCAGGGCACCCTCAGCCCACTGCAACCCAAAGGGCTGGGGAGGGGAGTTCCTCTTCTCTGGGGAGTCCCAAGTGACAGAAAGTCCCTTTGCTTTTTACCACGAGCCTTTTTGTGGCACCACCCCAGGCCAGAGCTCCTTGGTGCCACAGGTGTGCACGGGGATGGCTTTACCTGGTTCCTGCACTGTGGGCATGTCCGGCTCGGGGCAGTGTCAAACCACTGGAACAGGCTGAAAAAGAGAAAGAAAACACAGTAAATCCTTACAGTCCTGGGGCACTGCTTCCAGGGGCCATGCCCCAGCTCCCCAGCAGACAGCAGGATGTGACTCCTCATCATAAAGCAGAGCTGCACACCTTCAGTCCAGCGCTGTGGCCGGCAGGAGCTCCGTGCTCCACACGCATGCTCCACCCGCATCTCCAAGACAATTCCTGGCTGGATTTAGCATGTGAGCTTATCTTTAACAGGGCAGAGCTTCTACAGAGCTCAGATCTCTCTGGGAGACAGGCACTGAGGAGCCACAGCCTCACAGGAGCGAGTGGATGCACACGGGAGCTGCTCTATCAGGCTGTGACAGCCAGCTCCAGCTCCAGGGGTGCCACTGAGCTCGGATCTCTGAGCCAGGGGTGCCGGGCCAGGCTCTGCTCTGCCGTGATGAGCCCAAACCTGCTGGGCTCCCCAGGACAGCTCCTAATGCATCCTGCAACCAAGCCAGCACATCACACTGGAAAGGTTTATTTTGGGAGCAGGTAATGATTTGGAGCTGGCAGGTTCCCTTTGGAAGCTCTCCCTGCTCGGCTGGCTGCTGGCAGAGAGCAGGCCCGAGCAGCGCTGCTGAGTGAGAAGTGACAATCACACCCGTGCTCCTCTCCAAGCTCGTTAGCCAGGAAAGCAAATGCCCACCCTCTCCCCACACAAAGTTTATTTCCTGAGAAGAACCATTTCCTTTCAACAGAGTCCTAGAAAAGCACGGAATTACCAGGGCTCCTTCACCATAATCCAACATCACTCCCTCCAAACACCCTGTGACAGTGGCTCTTCCGGAGCAGGGAGCCTGCAGGCAGCACAGCGACAGAAGCACAGAATCAATTAGGTCGGAAAAGATCCGAGCTCATCGAGTCCAGCCTATGGCCGATCAGTACCGTGCCAAGTGCCACATCCAGCCTTTCCTTAAGGACCTGCAGGGACGGCGACTCCACCACCTCCGGGGACAGCCCGTTCACATGGGTGACCAGCACAGCCCAGCACAGCTCCGTGAGCTCCTCCGAGCCCTCGCCGGGGCCACACAAGGTGCCCGCGGCTGACACCCACGGCCCGGCCCGGCCCGAGCCCCTGCCCGCCCCGGCGCTCACCAGGCCTGGTGGAAAGTGTGCCCGCACGGCACGGCCGCCACGTCCCGCTTGTTGTCGAAGAAGTCGGAGCAGATGGTGCAGTGTGCGCGGATGGGCATGGCGGGGCCGGCCCGGTGACCGGGGGGCTCCTGAGGGTGGCGGCCCCGGGGCTAGAGCGGCCGCGCGGCCCTGCGCGGTTTAAACGCGACCGCGAGCGCGCCGCTTCCGGCCCGCCCCGGAAGTGACCTCAGGGGACCCCGGGCCGGGGCCAAGGCTGGGGCTGTGTTGGGTGGGCGTGGCCTATAGAGGCGTGTCCGAAGGGCGGGCCCTGTGAGAGTGGGCGTGGCTCGCCCCGTGCCCCGCCCGCCCGGCCCGTGCCCCGCGGTGACCCCTGGGTTCTTTCTCGGGATCCATCCCGGGCTCCTTCCCGGCGGCGAGCGCTCACGGGTCCCGCTGCCCTCGCTGCCCGGGCAGCGCTGCCGCTTCCAGCCCGCCGCGTCTAGCTCAGCGCCGCGCTGCCGGCAGGCGCGGCCGCCCCCCGGCCCCACAGAGAGACTGGGCAGGCGGCGCTGGTGCTGTCTCAGTTTGTCCTCAGCGGGGTCTTTATTTGCCAGAGATACAGCGGCGGGGCGCGGGGCGGCGGCGGCAGCCGCGGGCAGAGCCGGCCCTGCAGGCATGCAGCTGCGAGGGGGGAAGCGGGCACCGGGAAGGGGGCACGGGGGGACACCGGGGGTCCTCCAGGCACAACGCGTGGGGGGCCGTGCGGCTGCCCCCGGGCGGGGGTCCCCGTGTCCCCCCCCGGGGGTCCCGGGACGGAGAGGGGGTCTCCGGGACGGCCCCCGCTCCGTCCCGGGCAGCCCCGCCCGCGGTCCCGCGCATGCACGCGTGTCCCGGGGGGCTGCGGACGCCCCCCCGGCGCTGCGGGGCGTGCGGCCGAGCGGGGCTGCCCCGCGTCTCTGGGCATCCCCGGGGCAGGGGACGGCGGCGGGGGACAGACTGAGAGAGCTGGGAGGACACGGGGGAACGGGCGCCATGCAGGGCTCTGCCCCGCGGCCGGCTCTCCGGCGGGGCACGTAGAAAAGGGGGCGCAGGCGGGGCTGGGGGACCATGCCGGGGCTATGTACAGGGGGCGCGGGGGCCGCTCAGCCGCTCTGCTCGCTGAGGGGCTCGGCGGCGGCCCCGGCCTCGGTACATGTGGCGGCGGGCGGTGTGCCGGGGGCCGGGGGCTGCGCGGCGGCGGGCGGCGGGCCGGGGGCTGCGGGCTCCGGGGCGGTGGCGGAGGGGGCTGCGGGCTCCGTGGCGGGGGCCGGGGCCGGGGCCGGGGCCGTGTCGGTGGCGGTCGCGGGCTCTGTGGCCGCGGGCTCCGCGGCCGCGGCGGCGGGAGCCGGGGCGGCGGCCGGAGTCGCCGCCGGGGCCGTGGTCGCCGCCGGGGCCGTGGTAGCTGCCGGGGTAGCTGCCGTGGTAGCTGGGGCCGGGGTCGCTGCCGGGGCTGGAGTCGCTGCCGGGGCTGGAGTCGCTGCCGGGGCCGAGGTCGCTGCCGGGGCCGGGGTCGCTGCCGGGGCCGGGGCTGCCGCCGTCTCCGACTGCTCGGGCGCCCGCAGGCGTTTCATAAGCGTGGTCACTCGCACGGCTTTCTGCGGGGGAGAGACGGGGGGTGTGGGGCTGGCGGAGGGGCCGGGACTGGCAGCGCCACCAGGCTCTTTGCCCCACGGTGGGGGACCGGGCTTGGCTGAGAGGGGACACGGAGGCACGGCACACCCACACCCACCTTCCACTTGGCCCGGGCGAAGTTCTTCTCGATCTGGGCACAGACGCCATCCTTGATGTTCTTGTCAGAGGCAGCATTCCCAGAGATCCTGGAGGGGCAGTGAGCGGTGAGCTATCAGCCCTATCAGCCCCCCTGGTTCCCCATCTGACCCTGCTGCTGCTCACCACTCATGGGAGATGGCCTCCTCTGCCGTGATCCTCTGGTCCTGCTCCACCTCCATCAGGCGTGTCACCAGCTCCTTAGCTGGGGGCACAGGGGGAGAAGTCAGTGCTGGTAGGGGACAACATGGGACCCCACGTACCCCCCCCAGTGTGGGGCTCACCCGCTTGCGAGATGTCATCCCAGTAGGGCGGGTCGAACTCATAGTCCCCAGCCAGGATTTTGCGGAAGAGGTTCTTGTCGTGGTTCTCGTAGTCATCCTCGTCTGCCTCCTCGTAGAAAGGGGGGTTTCCCGACAGGCTGGGGAACGTGGTGGGGGGCTCAGTCCCGCCCCAGCCCCAAGTCCCTGTAGCTACCCCGTCCCTCAGCCCACACTCACAGGATGTACATGATGACGCCGATGGCCCAGCAGTCCACCGGCCGCCCGTACCGCTGCCGCCCCACCACCTCCGGAGCTGCCAGAGACAAAGAGCAACCAAACCATCCCCCGGGGTCCCCAGCCACCCTGCCTCTTAGCCCTGGCATGATGGGGAGCAGGAGGCACCCACTGGAAGCACCCAGTATCAGCCCCCAGGGTGATGGGAATGGGAGGGGCACCAGAAGAGAGTAAGGAATGGATGGTAAGGAGCAGCAGGGACCTGCTGGGACCCAGCACTGCCCACCCCTGCATGCCCACCCGGCTGGCTCTCACCCACCCAGGTACTCAGGGGTGCCACAGGGCTCCTTAATGAGCCCGTTCTCCAGCTTGGCCAGGTGGAAGTCACTGATGACGATCTTGGAGTTCTTCAGGCGATTGTAGTACACCAGATTCTCCAGCTGCCGGCACAGGGACTGTGAGTGCCCGCACGGGGGGCATGGCAGCACCCATGGGTGCTCCTACCCCCCCCTGCCACCCACCTTGAGGTTTCTGTGGACGATCTTGAGTGAGTGCAGGTAGGCAACAGCCTCCAGCACCTGCCGGATGACATTGCTGGTGTCCTTCTCCGAGTAGTAGCCCTGGTCCAGGATCCAGTCGAAGACCTCCCGGCCAGTGGCCCTGCAGACAGCAGCTCTGCCGAGACCCAGCCCTGGCAGAGCCACCCCCTCCCCGCTTCCAAATGTCCCAAACTTACAGCTCCAGGAAGATGAAATATTCCTTGCGGGTGATGTAGACATCCACCAGCTGTAGGATGTTGGGGTGCTTCACCCTGCAGAGAGCCAGGGGCACAGATGGGAGTTCCCAGTTTGCCCAGTAGCACAGGATCCCCTCCAGTCCCAGCACTCACATTTTGAGGATGATGATCTCGTTTTTGGCTGCCTTGCGCACTTTCCGTCCATCCCGCTTCAGAAACTTCTTGCAGGTGTACAACTTCCCCGTCGTCTTCTCCTTGGCCCGGAAGATTTCACAGAACTCCTCCCTGCAAGGGTACCCCCAGACATCACCCCATTCCTGGGCACCACTGAGATTGGGGTGCTTGGGTGGTCCCTGGGCCCACCAGCATTCCCCCAGATCCCAGCAGTCAGGGGAGATGCCACAGAAGTAGAAGAAAGCTGTGACTCAAAAACACTTCGGAGGGGAAGAAAAAACAGCAGTGAGAGGCAACTGATATGGAAGGAGCAAATTGATAGGGAAGGGGGAGAATTTTCTGCTTAAAAAGCTCCATCCTCAGGACAGGAGTGGTAAGAAGCCACTGTGAAGCCACTCGTGCCAAGGTGGAACAGCAGCACACCCACGTTAACATCAGCACAGCAGTCGGGGAGAAAGAGAGGGAGATGTGCCGGTAGCTGCAGCGTTTCTGTTCTATTATTCATGGTGCTTGAGCCCATGGCCAGGCTGCAGCTGCAGGGGAGCCCCGGGGGGCACCTGGCACTGCTCCAGCAAAGCCATTGGCTTTCCAATCCCCCCAGATGTGCCGAAATCCTCACGGCCACTGCCCTGGGTGCAGGGCAACAGTGACCTGTGGGCTTTGGGACAAACTGCCCAGAGGATGGAGCAAAAATCTGAGAGCACCGAGGTCCCCACTGCCACCCAGTGTGACCCTGCCAGGTGTGACCTCTGTCCAAGCAGGTGTTTTGGAAGTTGATGGAAAAATTCTGGTGCCTATTTTGCGGTCAGCCCTCTCTCAAAGGGTGTTAGGGCTTCATTTTTTGGAGCGTTCCTCAGCACGGCAATAAAAGTTGGGGGAAGCAGCAGTGCAGTGCTCCACTGCCCCCCAAGTGACATCTGCCTTTCCTTTGCTGTAGCTGAGCCCTCCTGATTCACAAAATGCTCCAGGGAGCCAGGATCCTGTGGAATTGCTGCAATCCCTGCAAATCTTGAGGGGAGGAGGGAGGGATATGGGAAACTGCCCAGCTGCAGCCAGCAGCAGTGGGAAAGCTCACTGTCCTCCTTGGAGCTAGCTGTGAATATCCCACATGCAACCCACGAGCAAGAGGGACTAATTAGGGTAAAGCCACCCCTAAATACACCCTGCAATCCCGGCCCAGCTGGGGACCAGCACCCCCAGAGCCCCCACAGGCAGTGTTGTGCCACTCCTCAGCACCCCAAGAGCCCCACACAGGTGGCTGGGGTTCCCCAGGGCATCCATGGGGCCCTGGAGGGACCAACTCACGTTTTGATGACCTGGCCCAGGTCATATCTGTCGGTCACCTCAGACGGCTGGTTATAATCTTTCTTGTCTCCCAGCGTCACGCAGCCAAACGGCATCGCAGGGCCCGGTGCTGGCAGGGCAGGGAGAGGCAGTGAGTGCCCCGGCACTGCCACCCCCCTGGAGCCACAGCAGCCCCTCCCAAGCTGTGACCATTAACGTGGAACCTGAGCACAGCGGCTGCTCGTGCTCTGCAGCTGCCGCCAGCCGCCGTGTGCCCAGCCCCACCAATGGGCATCCCTGCCCGTGGCATCCAGCCTCTCTGCCCGGGCTCAAGCTGCCAGCACAGCCACAAGCTTCCCCCTCCGGCCCCTGTTGGTGGATTATTAATGATTAATTAGCAGTCGGGGTTAGCACAGTGCCTGGAGCACCCACTGGGGAGGCAAGTGGAGGTGAACGGATCCTTTCCTGTTCCTCAGCCCAGCCTTGCCCACGGTAACATTTCAGCAGATGGGGCCTCCCCAGGCAGAGCATTGTCACACGTTGTCACATGTGCAGTGGGTTACACCAGTCTCAGCTTGCCATCCCCAACCAGCCCCGGCTGTGGCACCAGGCAGGTGGCACTGCAGCTCGGAGGTGCCACAGGCAGCAGTCAGGACAGCAGCCTTGGCAGATGCCAGCTTCTCCAGCCCTTTAGGAAGGATGCTTTGCCCCTTGCTTCCCTGTTGGGAACTCTTCAAAACCAGATCCTTCCTGGATGCTTCCCATAAAAAAAAATTGATCACATAAAGTGATTTCTTCCCCTTTCCCACCGTGTTAGCAGG